ATTCAGAAGATCAAGGTGATTTAGAAATTCCCTAAAGGTAAAATTAATTAACTTTATTAAATATTTTTTTAAAAATAATCATTATAATTATAAGTTTTAGACAGGATAATTTTTTACGATGTTGAAGAAGTTTTTAATCAATAATTAAATGATCATATTATAGTTTTTTTATTATAAACATAAGGGTATAGAGTATCAAATTATTAAATTTGAAAATTTAATAACTACAACGTTATAAATAATCATTTAAATTTTAATATTAAGTAAAAAAAAATCCATTTTATTATTCAAGTAACAAGAATAGTATGCTGTGGAATAAAGATGAATTATGCAATTCTTACTATCACATGTTTCCAGATAGGTTTTTTGAAAGTTTATAGGATTTGCTTTTTCATCTCGACATCAATTATTATTAATGGGAAAAATAAAAATATTATATGTCTACGGCACAAAACAATTCGAACTAATAGTAGAAAAAAAATATTATACTAAAATACTACCGAAATAAATTAATGAATAACTCTTACGAAATATATTACTTCTTTTTTTTAATTGAGGCGATACAATCTGAAAGAATTAGCTAAAAAAAAAAAAATAACAATAATAAATAATTTAATAAAAAAAAAATAAAGGAGTAATTAATAAATAATAAGAAAATACCTTTTATGGAAGTGGAAGGAGGGTACTAAATTTTTGAAAAAGAAATCGCTGCGCTCTGAAGCGACTAAATCCAAATCAAATCAAATCAAATTTCAAATGAAAATAATTTAAAAATATTTCACCTTATACACACTGAAAACGATCCAAAGAGAACCCTATAGAAAAAAAAGGGCGCAAGATTTGTAAAAAACCATCGAAATGCTGCAGCTAGAAGCTGATTTCTTCATTTTTTATGCAATCATTTTTTTATTCTCGATTTAACCAGATTAAGTAAAAATAATATTTTCGGAAACAAAAACTTCAAAAATTATTTTTCATCATGAAGCGCATAAAGAATAAGCTAAAAGAACGTCGGAAAGTCAAAACCTCATTTAGCAACTGAACCAAACCAAAAAATGAATTTGTTGGTTAGCTCAATCAGCGCAAAAAAAGAAAAAAAATTTCACATATAAGGTTAAACAAAATGGCACAAACTTTCCAGCAATTCTTTCTCTATGCCAATGATCAATGATAGAAATTCGATATAGAAAATGCAGCTTTTAGATTTACTTCATAGGAAGATTTGGTGTTAAAAAAGATAACAATCAGTGTGTCATAATTATTTATAATTTTTCTAAAAATAAAAAAAATAACGTTATCATTTATGAACATAACCTTATTGCAGGATTTAACGTGATAAGAAAAACAAGTAACTTAGTTATAAGAGAATATGTATTTATAACATTTTTTTAATTGTTGTAATTGTTGAATTAACAAGATGACTGAATCTACTGTCTGATTTAACTGGCATTATAATCATCAGCCAGACCTCCACACGCATTATGTTTAGGAATCGTGTAATGAAAAAGAAAGACTCACTCGGTAAGTTAAAGAAATTTTAAAATGTCTTTGGAAGATTTAAAATATATGCGGTATTTTTATTTTTATTCAAAATAGATCATTGATGAAACATATGAATGAATCAAAAACATAAAGATTTATATTGAATTCTAAATACATACTATTATCTCCGCACCCATATGATGTAATCACGGAGTTCATATGGATATTTACAAAAAAAATAAATATAAAATTATAAGTTTTTCTTTTTTTTTATTCTATACACTAAATAATAATAATTTATTTACCATAATGGCCATGATATATTTTAGTTGTTTAAATTTCATTAAAAGTTTGAATAATGTAAAATTATCGATCTATACATTTTCACAAGCGATTAATTTTCGTTTATAGATGATCTTTGAGTATCTGAAATTGAGATTGGATACCGTTTTTGTTATCTGAATTCCAATTTCAGGTATGATCTTATTGGTCAATTTCTGTGTAATTATTTTAATTTCAATTAAATCTAATTTCAGATATGAGACGAGACCATCTTTAATTGGAATATTATCTACAATTGAATGTAACTTCAGCCGAGATCTCCATAATTCTGCATGAAAATCGCTTTTGATATTTACAGTTAATCTTTTAGTGATCATTCAGGCTGGAATGGTGTCAGGATGTCAAGGCGTCAGATTGTTAGAATGCCAAGCTGTTAAGGTGTCAGTATGACAAAATGATCAAGACGCTAGGCTGGCCTAATTATTTTTTATATATACAAGCTGAAAATCCTTAAAGAGCTCAATATTCACGTTTACCCTTGTAATATTTTTTTGATTACATTTCCTTCAAAATCCTCCTTTTTATAATCTCGCTTTCACCATTTAAGACTATTTAACACTATATACAGTTTATGCCATATAGATGTTAGTGTCAGGTGATTCTACTTTATATAGTGGAAGCTATGGCCATTCCCAAAAAGGAAGGAATAGGTATAAATTTGATTAGCTTTATGCAGGAACTATGGGGGCTGTTTTTATTTTATATTGATATCAATATTGATATCAATATCAATATCAAAATCAAAATCAATATCAATATATTTCAATATCAATATCAATATCAATTTTGATATCAATTTCAATATCAATATCAATATTGATAGGAACAACGGTTGTTTATATATGATTTTTTTTAAAAAAAAAAATTGAGACTGAATAATTAAATTTTTTTTAAAATAATGAATTTGTCAAGAACATATACTGCGGTAACAAAAATCCTATTTCATCTGATAATTTCAGCCAAAGGGATGAACTGATTTAACCTAAGAAAAAATAAAAATCACTGACGATCTAACCTAAAACTGCCTAAAACTAATAAATAAGATAAAATAAATAAAATTAGTAATCAAATTAATTACCAAAATAAGAAAACAATAAATCAAAAAAAATTAATCAGCTCATCTTAGCCCGCGGTGACAAGTCAGATGATTCCGTTCGAAGGTTCCGTCTGGTTCTTAGCAAAAAGTGGTGGAACCAATCAAACCTAAAAATTAAAAAAAAAATAAAAAAGAAAAAAAAGCAAATTCGAGTCAGCTTACCTTTGCCGCGGTGACGAGCTGGTCGGTTCCGTTTGAAGGTTCCGTCTGGTTCTTAGCCTAAGTAGAGGAACCGATCGAACTTAAAAAAAAAATTTCTTTACAACACATAAATCTTTGGTGTAATCAAATTAAAACCTAATAGCACTATGGCTAATTATAGTATCATCGTGTAATAAGCAAAAATTATTTACAGAACATTATCGCGATCAATAATAAACAAATTATGATTAATGTGATATTTATACTTTAAAAAAAGATTGCAAAGGTCAAATAGAATCGCGAATAATTTCTCCACAATGCTTAATTTACAATACAAAAGTTTCTTCTTATTCGTGATATGTACCACAGAAGATTAAATATTTTCGCAAAAGAAATAGTATTAGCCTTAATGCTACTAATCCTGTAAGATTAATAGCATATATGATCGTTATTATCTAATATTATAGTCTACCCTGGTAATATAATTATGTTTTAACCACAGAATGTTAACAGAGATTAATAATCACCATAATGACAACTTGAAAACAAAGTTGAACACAAGATATAAAGTTAAGTCCAGATCATCGTATGTAAAGAATATTCTCGTCTAAACAAAAAGCATCACAACCACTTCCAATTTAATAAAATATCATAATCTATACATATGCAATATATATTCCAAAAAATTTAATAATGATATTTATAAATATTAAATAAAAAATATAGGTTACTTTCAAATATTAATTAAGGCCGGCCCCTGGCCGGACATGATTAAAAATCTAGTTTAATATTTTATAAAGGGAAAAAAAGTTCTTGTTGTTACAAGCAACTTGTAACGTTTGCACGAATCGATCACTTAAATATGACGTATTATTTTTTTTTAGGACTTTTAAAAGAATTTATTATGAGATTCTTGGCATTCTTCATGATAATAGCAAAACTTTTAATATTTTGTCTTTGAATAAATTGTATTTTATTTTAATTCAGAAACTGTAATAAGGAAAGAATTAAAGATTACTTGGAATTGATGATAATATCGGTGGGTCGAGACCGTTGAAATTTTCCAATAAAAAAATTTGACAAACGTTATTATATTTAATAAATGCGGGATTTCATGACAACCCTCCATTTCTTCAACATCTGTAATCTTCAATTATAAGCATTTTTGTGTTGTGTCTGCAACAATTCTATTACTAAATAGTGCCTTTCATGTTTCTCAAATCACTTTAAAACTTTTCTGAATACTTCAAATAATAAAATTCCATATAACTTCATTAAAAAAAAAAAAAAATTCTAGTAATCCAACGTTGCTTTCTTAACTCCCGGTAAAAATAACCCAATAAATAATTAAAAAAGGCGTAGTAAAATTCAATTGACCGAAATTTATAAAATTTCATGTGCTTATAAGATAAAGGATAAACCTCCGTGATTATTAAATTCATAATAAAAAATTATTTCGTCCGTTGATAAATCAGCTTTATTTATCTTAATAGATTTAAAACAATAAAATAAAAAGAATTATTCAATTATAACTTTACTAACATCAATAATTTCGGAAATGCAAATAGTGACCGTCTGTTTGTCATCCGATTTTATGACAATACTTTTTATGTCTTGTTTCAATTCTCGCATTCAAATTTCTTAACAAAATATTAAAATTATTCTCACGAACCATATTTTTTTTTCTTAAAAAAGAAATAAAATAAAATAAAATGATGGGCATTTGGCCATGAGGAATCCAAGTTAAAAAAAGATATCTTTATTTTTGCAATAATTTAAACTCATTATACTATTAACATAATTATACAATTCAATAAAAAAAAAAAAAAATCTGGATTTTAATTCAGATTTATTAAATCGCAGATTATTGATTTTTTTAATTATTTAAACAAGAGAATGTAGTGAACATAACACTTTAAAATGACTGGTATTTCGTAGATTATTTTAAACCTATTTAAAAATTTTAAAACAATTAGGAACAAAACAAAATTGAAACAATGAATCAAATTAGCCACTTACATCTTATATTTGTTGTCAACTTAACCAACACAACCTCGTTCATCGCATTTTGGTTGCCCTTGGGTACATATCTCATCCCCTGAAGGGGTTTTTTCGCAAGAAACTTGTCTTTTTAATAAACTTTCATCGAATGCCATAGGAGCAGCAAAAACGACACTGCTAAAGGTTAAAATGGCGATGACAAGGATTACAATAAGAGTTTTCATGATGGTTTTAGAATGATTTATAAATTCTTTAAAATGATATTTTTATTTCTGAATGAGATATGGAATTCGCAAGTTCTAAGGACGCGTATTTATATGTGTTAGAAATAGTGGTAAAATTATCGATTTTGACCATGAGCCAAGCCAGTTCGTGAGTTACAATCAAAGTAATCATATGCTGAACCGCCACGCCAAGCCAGGTATATCTAAATTAATTGTATCTAACTCGGATCAAAGGCTTGCGGTTGGGGCTGTGTCGGGCTGAGCCATAGGATTTCTCGTATTAAATAAGGCTTATTGAAATTATAAAGATTTTATTGCCAAGTGGGGTTAACGCTTTGGTAAACAGGTAAATAGTTATCAATTTTTAAGAGATTTACATAAGCAATTTCAAGACTTAAAAATAATCTTTTGCCACCCAAGTAGTAAATACATTCCATCAAAATCTCTAATCAATCATCAATTGGAGAAATCTTATTTTGAGTAATATACAATATCAGGATCAGATGTTTTAAATTTCAAATGTTTTACATTGTAATAATCGGGACAATTTTTTATGCAGTTAACCTTACAAGAAACGTAGCGCTTATAGCTCAGCCACAACTTCGCCCAAGTTTTAATTTTTAGTTCAAATTAAAGTGACACGTGATTTTTAATTCGCGATAATTAAATCACGAGTATACGGGAATCTTAACATACACCCCACATCAGCCTCATTTTATCTATATGCATAAATTTTTTCATCGCTCTTTCCTTTTCTCCATTTAAATATTTTTAAGTAATTAAAATTAAGAATATAAAATATTTATTTTATTTATTTTTTAGCTGGATCCAAAGAAATTGTTAATAATTTTCAAAATCAAATTATTAAGTTTAATATATTAGCAGCTAATAATTTATCCTTATGATTGAATACCTATGAGACTTTTCATTATATTTGATATTAATTTATAATAGTGATTATATGTATAAACACTTGGTTTTAAAATATAAATTTTATTAAATCTATTTAATTTAAAACTAGTTTAACTTTTTAATTTCACATATATAACATCATTTATTATTTTTATCTTTAATTTCCGATTTAATTAGTATTTTATAATTCAATTTTAATTAAATAGAATTTAGTACTTGGCATTATAAAGTTTAAAATATTGATCAAGCGAAAGTGTAGATCATTAAACGTTAACACTGATTAATTTGATTAAATTAAATAAATATTCTGTCATTACTTCATTTTTATTCAATAAAAACCTTCTGCTTACATTTAAAATTGTTTACAAATACATAAACAAAAGAACTGAATACAACAATATCTAAAATACAATTTCAGATAGAATCTGAATTTCAGATACAAAGCCGTCTGAAATTGAGATATCCGAAATTGAACTTCAGATAAAATCTGAATTTTATACAAATTATGTATTTATAAAGGATCTATTATCTATATGTACTGTACATAAGCAATTTATTTTAATAAATAAAGTTTTTATATTTTTAACTTTCTTTTATTTACTTTTCTTTATAATAAAAAAATTAACGATTCCTTTTCTCTATAAATATATTTATAAAAAATTAAGTAATTTTATTTTAAAATTCGCCTCTTAGCTTCAAAATAGAATAATTATACAGGTAATCATAAGGTAGGAGTTCCTTTTTTATTTTCTTTCTGCTATTTTAAAAGAATTAAAAAAAAAAGTGAATGTTTTTAACATTTTCTTCTAATTAAATTTATAAAAAAACCTGAAAAATAGATGAAAACGAAACTGGTGCAACACCCGATGCGGTCGAAAACCTGCAAATAGAAATTAATAAAACTAAAACTAAAAAAATAAAAAAAAATGAACTTATTTGCCGAAAACTGAATAAAAATAAAATCGAATTTAAAAAAGTTAAAAATAAAATAAATAAATTAAAAATAAAAGATGAAAAAAGAAAGAAAAAGAAAAACATACATTAAGCAGCAGCCGGAATGTGATCAAAAAAAATCTTAAAAAAAAGAAAAGAAAAGAAAATAACCCTTAAAAAAAAGAAAAAAATATATATACTATCAAAATTTAATAAATAAATGCCGCGAAATTTAAATTATAATTCAGCTAAAGCTAAAAGTCTGAATTTACGAAATTGTAAAAAAAAAAAAAATTTTGCATATTGTGATTGGTTAAAATAATAAGTTGTCTGAAGTTGGAATTCAGATAACAAAAAGGGTAACTCCGATTTCAGTTAACTGAAATTGGAAGATTATCTGAATTCAACGTTATAAGATAACGACTATGAAATTACCCCTGAATGACTAATCAAATTGAAATAAAAAGGTAAAGCGGGAAATTTTAAAAAAATTTAAATTTGCAATTTATAATCACATTTTTCTTAACCACGACGGATAACAAAAATGCCCGAATTGAGTACTTTAGTTGGTTATTTCGCTTTAACAGTTATAAGTTGGTTTACTTATAAAGTCTATATTTATCCATATTATATTTCTCCTTTGAGAAAAATTCCTGGTCCGCCTTCTGAAAGATTTCTTTATGGAAGCCTTAATAGGATTTTTGTAGAAGAGGTTGGTTATCATCTTAATTATAAACAAACTAACGGCGATCATTAAAATTTTTAAATTTCTTTAGTCCGGTGAACCACACACAAGATGGGTAAAAAATACGGAAATATTGTTAAATATCACGGAATCTTAAATGAACCATATATTATAGTTACAGATGCGAAGTTAATCCAAGATATTGTTTTAAATCATGGGTACGATTTTGTTAAAGCCCAAGCTCTGAGAGGAAATTTTAAGCCCATTTTTGGTCAAGGTCTTTCCATTGTTGAAGGAGAAACGCACAAGAGACAGAGAAAAATGATGAACCCTGCTTTCACTCATAATAACATTAAAGTAAGTAATCTATTGCAATAGATATAATTAAATAAAATAATTAATTTTCTTTTTTTTTTTTTTAACAATTAGAATATGATTCCAACATTTGCTCGCGTAGCTTTGATATTAAAAAGCCAAATAGAGGATAAAGTGAATAAAGGAGAAACAAAAATCAATCTTACGTCATATGTTTCCAAAGCTACTTTAGATGTCATTGGCTTAGTTGGTAAGAGAAAAAAAAAATTTTATGTTTTAAATATATGAAACGTAATAGTTCCCAACTTAAAGATTTCATTTTCTAGGATTTAATCACGCGTTTAACTCATTAACATCTCCAAGCGAATTAGCACAAGCTTACGAGTCCTTAGTAACTATCAAAATGACTGCTCTTTACCTTTGCATTGGTATTTCATCTGTTTATGTTCCATTTGTCAGAAAAATCCCAATAGCTATAAACAGAAGATTTAATAATGCATTTAAAGTTATTGTACGCGAATCAAGAAAATTGCTTGAAGAAAAATATCATGATGATAGAAATAACAAATTGAATGGAAATGATTTATTGTCTACATTAATTAAACTCAACAAGACTTTACCCGTTGAAGAAAAATTGACAGGTAAAGAACTGCAATATCAGGTGATTAAACAAATTTTTTTTAAAAAAATAAATTTGCGTTGTAATTAATCTAATTCTTTTTATTTATTTTCTTTTATTTTTGATATTTAGATCATGACGTTTTTGATAACAGGACATGAAACTACAAGTAATGTAGCAGCTTGGGCCTTATATCTACTTGCAAAACATCCAAATGAGCAAGATTTGTTACGTGAAGAATTGGTTAAAGCTTTCCCTGATAAATCAAAATTTAATCCCACCTATGACGAAATTAATTCTTTGGAATACTTAAATTGCGTAATTAAAGAAACGTTAAGGCTACATCCTGCAGGTATATTAAAAATTTTTAACAAATTAAAATTTACATAATTGTTTTATTGACTAATAAATTCATTATAGTTTCTGTTTTCCAACGTTCTAATATCAAAGATATGGTTATTGGCGAGCATTTTGTTCCAAAAGTATGTTAATATTTATTTCTCTTTATAATTTATTAAGAAAGTACTTTTATTAATGGTTTAATAAAATAAATGATCCTTTAATTCATAGGGAACTACAATTGATATCCCAATTGCGACGCTTCAGAGATTACCTTCGATTTGGGGACCGACTGCTGACAATTTTGAGCCAAAAAGATGGTTAAATCCTTCATTAATTAAAGATGTGACAAATTACAATTATTTGCCTTTCAGTACTGGTGTTAGAACTTGTATAGGTAACAAAATAGCTTTAAACGAATTTAAAGTATTATTAGGTATGCTAGTTAGAAATTTTACTTTTCAACCCGTTGAAGGATTTGAAGTTAAGAAAACTGTTGGTTTATTTGGTAAACCTGATCCATATGTCGAATTATTTGTTTCTAAAGTTGAAGTTTAAATTATATGCGCAAGTTATTTTAATTCGATCAACTCGATGTTTGAACTTTGATTGGTCAATTTTTGTATCAAAATTTTCTTATATACCTATGTGATGTAATTACCGACAGATGCTTAAGAAACAGATCGCAAAAGCTGATTTGTTATGTTGTTTAAAATTTATTAACGTTAAATAAAAATTTCGTGATAGAATGTGAATTTCAGACACAAGGCCATCTGGAATGGAGATGTCTGAAATTGAGTTTCAGATAAAATCTTGGATTTCAGATACAGATACATAATCGTTAGAACTGGTTTTAAAAAAAAATTATTCAAGTTTTAAAAAATAAATTTTAATAAGATTCTAATGAATATTTTGATTAAAGCTTTGTTAAAAAATGATAAGTCCGGAGCGTAAGCGAAGGACTATTAAATACTATGCAACTTAATGTCAGTCTGTCCGCCCGCTTATTGCTTGAGTCGATACAGTCTGTTATGCACATGATTGTATACCTTTTTTGCTGATCGATTAAATTATTTGTGATCATTTTATTTACACCATTTTATCGCTCCGGACCTATCTTTTTAATTAATTTAGTATCATATTAGCTGAAAAGCCAATTTTTTTTAATATTTGACTAAATAAAAATTTCTGTCGTAA